TAATCGACGTGTCACTGTTGGGGGTTCTGTCCACACCCGAAGAGACCAGTTGGAAGCCACGCCTCCAATGGTGCCACGTAGGGACGAGCGGTTGATGGGCCTTCTCCCCGGACACCACCTGGGGCGCCTTCTGGCCAGAATCTCGAGGCGAATCCTGTCGTGGCGACCAGGGCCTCCCAGGAGGCCACAAGAGGGCGAAAACGCAGAACGGGTAGTGGTATGGAGAAGGAAAAAAAAATAGCAGAACTACAAGTGCTCGACGGCCCTCGCGGACTTCTTGGATCTGCGCCGACCCCCCTCCCTGGCGCGCAGAGCGCGCCAGGGGCGGCGCTGGAGGCGCCGCCAGGGGGGCCCAGCGCAGATCCAAGAGATCCGCGCGGCGCTTCGAAAATGTTTGTTCATGCCAGATTGCTCTTCTTCGAATATCGGTATCATTTCTTCGCATGGGGGGAACGGGTCCTGAGGGAAAAGGGTCCTGGGCCTTGGGGCATTCCCCCAGGACGAAAGGTTCATCCTGAGTCGTTTTCTGACAATCCCGGTGCCCGTGGAGGGCCCCAAGAGCCCGAAAGCGGCGGGACCCGTTCCCCTCAGGATATGTTTTCCCATGGCGACTTTCCCCCCCCCCCCCCCCCGACCAGGAAGCCTGCCAAGCAGGGTGCCCAGCCCCCGCGGCACCGCCGTGCGCTGCACAGGAGAGAGAGCCGCTCCAGCCGCGCGCGGGCTCCCGCACGGATCGTTGCCAGAGCGCGCACAGGATCGCCTACACAGGAGTGACCCTAGGCAAGAGTGACCTTTGGCATGGCCAGACCTAAGGCAGACGAACATCCTTCAAGAGCATGAGACCCTGCGCTGGCCGAACTGAAGAGCATGGCATGTGAGGGTACGCTCCCTCAGGAGCCACAAGAACATCCAACAAGCACGAAGAGTATCAGAGTACCTCCCCGAACCGACCTCGATCTTATGCCTCGGTCCGACCGTGCGCGGCCTCAGGTGGGACGCGTGAGGACATACTGATACTGTGTGCCCCCTTTTGGAGACGCACGCCCGACCCGAACACTTTTGATTCGCGGGTCGAGAGCGCACCTCTTCCGGTCGAAGCTAAGCGGGCCGCGCGAAGCTTGAATGAGCCAGAGATGGGGGAGGAAAGGGGGGCGAAAAGCCCAACCCGAACACGTGGCACAAAATCTTGCAGCACATCGTTTCCCGAGCGGTATGGCCGGAAAGCACCCGCCACGGAGCTTGAGCTAACTACAGGACCTCCGAGCGCGCGCAGCGCCCTGGCGTGGTCCACGCCCAGGCTTACGCGGTGCCGAGTCGGGGGGCCGCGGAGGGGCCAAGGCCAGGCGTGCGGGCCAGCGCTCTGGGGGGACCCCCGTGGGCCCGCACCAAAGTTGCTGGCGACATCCGAACCCTACAGTCGGCCCGTGTCATGAGGATGCGCGAGGAGGAGTCAAGGGCCTTGGACGCCCATCTCGAGACTTTTCGAGCGGAGCGCGGCCAACGAAAGTGGCCAGGGAAGAATCGAAGAGGCCAGAATGCAAGGGCACCCTTGGGAAGGATGCCCATCCTTCTTATGCTGGAGGACTGTACACTGCACCCCCACCAAAGATCGATTCTCCTGAATCGATGGGACGCGGGGGTCGGGCTCGGATTTCGCCCCGTGCTCGACGAACCTCCGAGCTCTGCCCCCGCCGCCTATCGATTTGCCGACGCGTGGATCGGCGAGGGCAGGGCTCGGCTCGCGACGCCAGCAGAGGGGAAACCAAAAGGCACCGCTGCCGCCACTGTCCGGACCTCGCCCGGGGGTGCGCTCCGACCAGGAGTTCGGGCCGAGTCCAGACGTAGCGACGAGAGCCTCCCAGGGGCCCCCCCAAAAAAGAGAGGCACAAGGGCGCATGGTAGCGGTATGGGTACCTCCTCCTCCCCCGAGATCCGACACATCCTCGGACATGTGTGCACACGCCGACCCCCCACGATCGCAGCGAAGGGGACCAGAGGAGGAGGAGGAGGAGGAGGAGGAGGAGGAGGAGGAGGAGGAGGAGGAAGAGGAGGCGGAGGAGGAGGAGGAAGAGGAGGAAGAGGAGGGAGGAGGAGGAGGAGGGGGAGGGAGGAGGCCTGAGCAGGTGGAGGAAGGAGGAGGAGGAGGAGGAGGAGGAGGAGGAGGAGGAGGAGGAGAAGGGGGAGGAGGAGGGGGAGGAGCCTGAGCAGGTGGAGGAAGAGGAGGAGGAGGAGGAGGAGGAGGAGGAGGAGGAGGACCAGTGCAGAGGTCGCTCCCGCGAAGGGCCACTCCCGCGCGCCGCCCGCGCGGGAGACGGGGGGTCGGCGAGGCGCCGAGGGGAGCGCGGGCACGGGGGAGGGCGGCGGGAGCAGCACGAGGAGGGCAGCCCCCGCGCCTCCCAGGCAGCCCGAGGCAGGGAGAGCAGGAAGGGGCCCTGGGACACACACACACACACACACACACACACACACACACACACACACACACACACACGCACGCACGCACGCACGCACGCACACGCACACGCACACGCACACGCACACGCACACACACACACACACACACACACACAGAGAGAGAGAGACAAATGCACACAAATGCACACAAATAACAGGGTTCCCCATAGTTTCCCATATTTGTTGGATGTTCTTCCCCCCCACTTCCCATGGTTTCCCATATTTTCCTGGGAGCCGACGATTCATTGTGTCTGTGTGTTTTGTCCCTCCTGAGAGCAGCTGGGCCGCACGCGAGAGGGGCCCCAGGCGAGCGATGCTCTTCGGCGCGCGGCTCTGCAGCCAGGCCGCATAGTTCGGCGGCAACGCACGCGAGCCTCCCGTACCATCCTGTCGGCTCGCGCGAATCGACGCCAGTCGACGCTAAATCGACGCTAGCCGACGCCAAATCGGCGCTATCTCATCGACTCCCAGACGCTAATCGACGCGAATCGGCGCCAAAGACGGAATTGAGAGGGCACACAAGGCTCCCATGATTTGCTACCGAAGTATAGTGAGGATGCGCGGTAAGTTGGCGTCGAGCGAGGGGGGGAAGCGAGAATGAGATGGCCGTCTCAGAAGGCGGCGGGGCTTCTCAGAGGCCCTCGCGCCTTCTGAGAAGCCCTCCGTGTCTTCGGGGGAAGCTTCGAAAACTTCTCGGAAGGCCGGGGGGGTTCCGAGCCTTCTGAGAAGGCCTTCTCCTCCTCGCCTCCCCCCTGGGCTCGCCCCCGACTGAGCACGCAAGGGTCTTGGACAGCCATGTTGACGCTTTTCGAGTGGGGCTGGCCAGCGAAAGCGGCCAAGAATGGGCCGAGAAGGATGCAGGAGTAACCTTGGAAAGTCGCTCCTCCTCACTATGCGGGTTGACTGTAGGGGGTGAGCGAGGGGCCAAAACCAAGCGCGCAAGCCGCTGCTATCGTATCTTGTGCAGGGATCGGCGGGGGGGGCTAGAAGAAGAAAGCACGCCATAAACAGAAACTTCTGGCGCTCCGCGCGGATCTCTTGGATCCGCGCTGCCCCCCCCCCCCGGCGGCCAAAAGTTTCTGTTTATGGCGCGTTTCCTCCTTCTAACCCCCCCGATCGCTGTACAAGATGCGACAGGAGCGGCCTGCGCGCTTGGGTCTGGCCCCCTCGCTGCCCCCCCCCCTACAGTCAACCCGCATGGTGAGGAGGAGCGACTCTCCAAGGCTACCCCTGCATCCTTCCCCTTCGAGGGACCCCGTGGGCCCGCACCAAGAGGTCACCCGCTGGCGAATCCCGACGGGCCGCTCTCGCACGTGCCGTCGAGGAGGGCGCCAGCTCGCGCCGCTGCAGCGGCCCCCCAGCCAGGCACCCCTCCTGGGCCCGGGCTCGGTGCATGCGCCCTCCCGGCCTGGGCAGGGAGGCCCACCTCCCCGAGTCCGTGGCCGCAGGGGGAGGGGCAGACCCAGAGATCCAGCGCATGGGAAAAAGCAAGACGGAAGTGTCTCGCCGCCTTCCGCCTCCGGCGGCCCTCGCCGGGCCACGGGACCACCAACAGATGAAGAGCCGGTCCTGGGCCCAGAGGTCCGACGTCGTGATTTTTTCAATGGGGGGTCCCCGGAAGTCTCGACCCATTCCCCAGGACTGGTTTTTCGTCCCAAGTCGTTCTCTGACGGTCCCGGGGCCCGGCGAGGGCCCCTCGGGGCCGACAAGTACGAAAAGCCTACGTCTTGATTTTTGTCCATACGCTGGATCTCTGGGGGCGGGTCGAGACTTCCGGGGGCCCCGCAGGGGGCCAAGCACGGCGTCGGATCTCCGGGGGCGGCGGTCGGGGGAGCGTCGGGGCGCAGGCAGAGCAGCGGAGGCAGGAGGCGGGAGCGCAGAGCGGAGAGGGGGCACAGGGAGGCACGCACACGCCAGCGCGGGCCGCGGGATTGGCGAGACCAGAAGGCACCGGTGCCGCTACGCCCTGGACCTTTCAGGGGCTCCCAGCTTCGCGCTTCGCGCTGCGCGCTGCGCGGAGTGCGAATAACTTCGCGGAAGGTGCCCATACCGCTACTCCCTGGACCTTTCAAGGGCTCCCAGCTTCGCGCTGCGCGCTGCGCGAAGCGCGAAGTGCGAAGAACTTCGCGCTCTCGCGCCGCCTCCCAGGGGAGAAGAGGAGGATGAGGGATCGGAGCCGAACCGCGAAGCGCGAAGCGCGAATAACTTCGCGCCCTCGAGGGCGCCCTTGACCTTTCCCGGGGTGCGCTCTGGCCAGCACTTCGAGGCGAGTCCAGTCGTGGCGACGAGGGTCTCCCCAGGAGGCCCGGAGAGGGGGGGGCGAGGGAAGGGCAGCGGTACGTGTACCTTTGCCTCCTCTGGAGGATCGGCCTGGGCGGGCTCGGTGCAGGTGCACAGCTGCTGCCCTCCGACAGGGGAGCCTTCTGCGAAGCCTCCGGGAGGGGGCCGATCCCCGCTGAGAAGGCCCCTCGCCTTCTCAGAGAGGGGCGCCCCTCGCCCTGGCCCCTCCTGGGGAACGCCGATGGGAGGGGGGGCTGGAAGGGGCCTCACTTCTCGCTGCCGCGGACGTAGCTGAGGATCATGGTCCAGACCAGACTGATGCCGTGGTTCAGGGGCAGGCGCATCCAGATCGGCACGGCGTACACGATGAGGTCTCCAGGGACCCACAGCGACCACATGTAAATGTTGTCGGTAACAATGTTCTTCCAGTACTTCGCGAGGCCCCTCTGGACCAGGCCGCTGTCGAGAGTGCCGTCACCCTGCATCATCTCCTTCAGGGTGTAGAACACAGGGAAATATATGAAGGTGTAGTGGACGAAATTGTCGAGGCACGTCTGCTTCACCAAGTCGATCTGCCCAGCGCGGTCCTTGAGCTTGTCCTTCCAGGGCAGATTGGAGAATCGGATGGCGTGCGGGCAGAGGCGCGTGAAGACCGTCACGTAGATGAACCACTGCACGATGCCGAGGTAGGCGAAGCCGAAGCCCGTGAAGACGGCGTTCCTGCTCCAGTCGATCTCCTTCTTCCCCTCTGCCTTCTGCACGATGAGGTCCGCCACCGAGGTCTTGACGGTGGCGACTATGATGTTCGTCGCAAACGGACGTCGCTTCGGGAACGTGACCACGGCACCCCAGAGGCCGCTGTACTCCACCTCCACGGACACACTCTCGCCTCTGGACGCCCGAGATGGGTATGGAAGAACAAATGGGTACCATGCCCAACGACACAAATGTTGCCCAAAATTGACAGCAGCCGCTGCTGGGCAGGTGCCCCCTCTGTCTAAAACGGATAACGCCCGCGGCGGCGCGGACAGCGAGTCCTGTTCAGAAGAAACAGGAACTGCTGTTGGACATCGTACCTATTTTGGCCGAGCGCACAAGGGGGTAGGGGGAGGGAGGAAGGCTTCTTAGAAGGAGGCTGCTTCTTAGAAGGCGCTGGCCCCACATCTGCAGATAAGGCCGGACCGTCTAAGAAGCATGCGTGCTTCTAAAGGAGGCCTTCCCCCCTCCCCCCTCTCCCGCTCTTACGCGCCGCCGACCACTCTTGCCTGCCCCATTTCGCTCGTGCCGATCGCCCTTCGGAACCTCTGCGGCCCTGTGCGGCCTGGACACCCGGTAGCCGCGCCTGCCGGGGATGCCCAGCCTGGGGCACTGCTCGGGCACCTCCAGGGGTTGCTGGAGGTGCCCCTGGCCCAAGGTGCCCCCAGCTCTTCGCGCTCAATCTTGGCGCCCCTGGGGGCCCTCTGGGCCTCGTGAGGGGGTGCTCTGGAGGCCGTGGAGCCCTCCTTGGAAATCCTGGGGGCACCTTGGGCCAGGGGCACTTGATAGGCAGATGTTCCACCACCCCTACCATGTGCAGGACGGGGGAGAAGGGAGCATGAGGAGGTCCTCCTCCTCCTCCTCCTCCTCCTCCTCCTCCTCCTCCTCCTCCTCCTCCTCCTCCTCCTCCTCCTCCTCCTCCTCCTCCTCCTACCTATGGTAGTGGTGGTGGACAATGGGCCCATCAGCACGTCTAGCACCACGCGACACCTGCGCCGAGCTCCGCCCCGACACCAGGTGCCGCCCAGAGCGCCGCGCCGCGGCACACAGCATCGCGCCGCGCGCTGCGGGGCGCCTCGGGCGGCGGAGCGGGCACACAGATCGAGCCTGGAAGGCCTGGGCCAAAATCGCTGCGGGGAGCCCAGACCCCCTTGCGCTGTGAAAAAAGCCCGACGGGAGGTTTCTCACTACTTTAGGCCTCTGGTGCCCTTCCCAGGATTCGGGACCGTCAAAAAACGACTCAAGATGAAAATCTGGTCCTGGGGAAGGTGTCCAGACCTCTGGGGGTCGACGTTGCGAAAAAATCACGACGTTGGGGGTCTGGGAGTCTTGCCCAGGCCACCCTTGGGGGGCCATGAGGGATCGTGCCGCGCCTTCCAGGGGTCCCTCCGAGCATGTGCGAGCTGGGCATGCTACGTGGACGAGCGCACCCCCGGAAGCGTCGAAGCTCCGTCGAGCCTGAGTGTGGCCAATCTGCCCAAGACGTTGCAGAAGGATCCTGAAAGAGTCGCAAGACTGCAAAGGAGAACCCTCACGGCCCGACAGGCCGCGAGGGCCCCAGACGTGCCGATTGGCTCCAAGAAGCACACGGGGGGGCCCTGAGAGAGGCCCCAAGAGGCCCCAAAAGAGCTCCCAGATCGCAGAACTCATCTGCAGCCACGGTGTTGTTCGATGCGCGCTGGTTGTCCTGTCTCTTCGGACCCAAATGGATATAGGAATGGCCAGAGTTGGCCTTAGCATATGTGGCGAAAGCCTGATGAAACCATGTCCGCAAGTAACGTGCTGAGCAGAAGCGCTATACGCGAGCGCAGCGGGTGACCTCCAGCAGTGATATCCTTGCTAATCGTAGCATACAAAATGTACATATACACAGAGACGCATACATGTATGGTTGAACACCAAGCACGGTGAGTTGGAAGTGGAAACTATGCAGTGTAAGATTCACGTGCAAGCTACGTCGTGCAAGTTATGTAGTGTAAGCCATGGAGGTGAAAGCTGTGCAGTGCCACCCATGTGGTGTAAATCATGTCGTGAAATACATGTGATGTGAGTTGGAGGCAACAGCTGTTCGGCACAAGCTTAGTGGTGAAAGCTATGTGGTATAAGCTGTGCCGTGCAGGCTGTTTAGCGCAAGACATGCAGGACATGCAGGATAAGCTCGGCGCACGGCGCGACTACGAGCGCCCACGAGGCGGCATGGGCGGCACCCTGACGCAACCTCAACAAACCCAACCCAGGGCACGGGGGCGAGGAGGGCAACGGGAGGCCAAGGAGGAGGACGGGGAGGGCGAGGAGGAAGACGAGGAGGGCGAGGGAGGAGACGGAGGGCGACGCGAGCGGCGGGGAACGGCGCGGAAGAGGACGAGGAGGGCGAGGGGAGAGCGAGGAGGAGGGCGAGAAGGCGGGGCCAGGGGGAGAGCGAGGAGGGGGAGAAGGGCGAGGAGGGAAGAGGGCGAGAAGGCTGCCAGGAGGAGGACGAGGCGGGCGAGGAGGGCGAGGGGACTCGCCTCCGCATCCCGCTCGGGATCGTCGTTGAAAAGGCTGCTCGGTGTGCCCCTCCTCGTGCCTCATCCTCCTTCTCCTTATCCTCGTGTCCTTTTCCTCCTCCTCTTCCTCCTCCTCCTCCTCACTCATCCTCCTCACTCCTCCTCACTCCACAATTACTCAATATGAATACTACTCTCCCTCTTCCCCTGATGACGGTTTGAAAGTGGCCGACCCCCCGCGTACTGTTTTTTACACACAGGTTTCCCTTGAGTTGGGTTTTCGCCTGCATTTTTTCAAAATGCTGCTCTCGCTGCGGCGCCGGCTTCATTTTCGGGCCCCGCTCGTTCCGAATCGTGCTCCCGCTGCAGCGCTGGCCTCATTTCCATGCTTCCGCTCGTTCCGAATCGTGCTCCCGCTGCAGCGCTGACCTCATTTCCGCGCTTCCGCTCGTTTCGACTCGTGCTCCCGCTGCAGCGCTAGCGTCATTTCCCGTGGCATGCCACGGCATGCAATGCAATGCTAGGTTGATACTACGCTTTGCGATGCTCTTCTACGCCATGCCATGCCGTGCTCTACAATGCATCGCATACCCTTTCGGGATCATTGCCCTGCTCGACATCCGACTGAGCGAGTAGAGAGGGGATCTGCGCCATGGTAAGGGATGGGAGGGAGGGGTAGGATGTCAGATATGACGCGAGCGCACCTAGCTTGTCCTTACCCCTCCTCGTGCTGCCTTTCATAGCGGCAGACACGCAGATCAGCTAGGAGTTGCTCAACGTCTTCCACATGGCGATGCGAGTGCTGATCCCCGTGACGGTGCTCAGCTTGACCCTCAAGAAGCGGCACGCGCGGCGCATCAAAGTCCCCGTGTGGAGCCTCATAGAAGGATTCGCGATGCCCGTCCTGAGGGTGGGCACAAGCGAGCATTAGAAGAAATGCTCGCGATATCTCACGCGGAGATGGGCATGCTGATCATGGCTTCGATGCCGCTCCTGGTGCTGACGGTCCGCGCGATGGCCGTGAGTTCCGTCAAGGGGGTGGTCGCGCTGATACTTCCTCATGGCTAGGTTCGTGCTGACGGCCACGGAGGTGAACGTGATGCGCATCGAGGAGGTGAGGCGGGCGACACTCAGAGCGCTTACGTGTCCAACTTGCTGTTGCCAGCTCTGGGTTCGCCACCGCGCGTGCCATCCGCAGCTAGCCCTACCTTGCGAGCCTGCACTCACCGATTCACAGCAGCAGATACACGCATGCTGGAGTCGATGGCAGCAGATGCAACACGCATGCTGGAACGCTCCCACAAGGCGAGCATGCGTTCAATAGAACGGTAGAGGCTTGGCCACGCCGCTTGGCGCGCCGACGTTGCACTGTCGCGCCTGCGCATGGAGAGACCTGCAGGACCTGCAACAACTGCAGTGTCCCCCGAGCGGCGAGTCTCTGCAGAGCGGCTCTCCCAGCACGTGACTACATACCAGACCACCCCAACCCAACCCGAAGACCCTAATTTCGGGTTTGGGGGATGTACGGGTTGCACATGTTTTTTTTCGTCAATGCTCCCCGACGCCGCCCCCCCACTGGAAATGGATGGCAAATCGGGGCCTTCGGGTTGGGGTGGTTTGGTGGGCGGTGACCATGGGAACCGCCAGTACTTACCGCTAGCACACAAGGCCTCTCAGCGCATGCTGTGACCCCTACAATCAATGGCTGTCGCCGTGTGGCGAGTCCCTGCGGGTCGGCCCTCCCGACAAGGAGCCTGCTACCACTCGCCACTCGAGCACGGCGTCGACTGCCGTCTAAACACTGTGCGCCTGTTGCGAGAGCCAGCAGCTGCTGCACGCTGGACCAAGCGGCAAGGTTCTGCGGAGCGGCCCTCCCATCAGGGAGCTGGCTGCCTCTCGCCGCCAGCGCGAGTATTTTAGCCTGTCTCTCTTACGCTACAGCCTGTACTGACTGAGGCACCGCACCAGTGCCCGAGGTATAGTAAATTCAATACCTGGTCTTTCGTCCAAGCCGCACTTCAGGCAAAGCCTTCTCAAGCCACTGGGCCCCGTCCTGGGCACGCCTCTGCCTCCTACAAATGAGGGCTCGCGCTTGAGACAAAGCTAATCAAACAGCAGTACCTCGTCCAGGGCACTCGCGCTCAATGCTTGCTGTTTCTCAGCTCAGGTACCGAGGTCTGCCTGGCCAATTCCTCTTTTTATTTCCATCCCCTGGCTCTCCCTTTCTTTTCTTCCGCGTATGTGCTAATGATTATCTGGACTCGGCTTGACCGCAAACCCCGCCTCCACTCACAGATCGCCGATGGAGCCAAAATAATTGCAGATACCTGTAAAACACACTACGCCTGAAAATGTGGAGTCCTAGATAGGGAAGGTCGCGGGCCCCTTACAACGCAGTGAACTCAGCACACGCTAGCCAGAACCCAGACGCTTCGGGGGTGAAGAAATCGGTGGCAGTGGGTTCTTATGTCCCCACGAACGCCGCGACTTCCCAGCCCCACAGTAACATGATGATCATCTCTCCATTGCTACAGCACTCGCGCACGGACGAGTGACATCAACGCACCTGCCAAGATGTACAGCAGGGAGGACGGCGCCACCTCCCTGAGTCCGAGCACCACTGCACAGACACTGGCCAGGGAAACGCACTGGGGGGGCGCTGGAGGTCCGCGACCCTGCCACACTCGCCACCGTGCACTAACTTGTGGGCACTAGTTCAAGAGGGGGAGCGCAAATCATGGCCAGCGGCCGGGGACGTAGTGAAACCAGAACAGGCGCCATGAAATCTGGTGTGATATCATGGCCCCCGCCATGAGATCCACCCCCCCATAGTCGTCACCCCCCTCTTTTCCGCCCGCGATTCCTTGTCCTTCTCGCCCCAGCACCGCTCCCCCGGGCTTGTCCCAGGCGCACCGAGGGTGGCGAGGCCCGTATCGCGTCCCAGCGTCGGGCGCTCGGCATGTTGCCGTCCTGGCCCTCGGGGCCAGGATTCCAGAAAGCCCTAGGGCTAGCTTCAGCGGCACGTGCTTAGCCATGCCATTCTCGGGTGAAAATCAGGCCTCCTCAATCCTCCTCCTCCTCCTACTCCTACCCATCCATCCGCATCCTCCTCCTCCTCCTCCTCCTCCTCCTCCTCCTCCTCCTCCTCCTCCTCCTCCTCCTCCTCCTCCTCCTCCTCCTCCTCCTCCTCCTCCTCCTCCTCCTCCTCCTCCTCTCCTCCTCCTCCTCCTCCTCCTCCCCTCCTCCTCCTGCCTCCTCCTCTCTCCTCTCCTCCTCCTCCTCCTCCTCCTCCTCCTCCTCCTGAGCCTCCTCACCCTCGTCCTCCTCGTCCTCCTCGTCCTCCTCTCCTCCTCCTCCTCCTCCTCCTCCTCTCCTCCTCCTCCTCCTCCTCCTCCTCCTCCTCCTCCCCTCCTCCTCCTCCTCCTCCTCCTCCTCCTCCTCTCCTCCTCCTCGCTCCACCTCCTCCTCCTCCTCCTCCTCCTCCTCCTCCTCCTCCTCCACTCCTCCTCCTCCTCCTCCTTCTCCTCCTCCTCCTCCTCCTACTCCTCCTCCTCTCCTCTTCTCCTCCTCCTCCTCCTCAAACCTCCTCCTCCTCCTCCTCCTCGTCCTCCTCGTCCTCCTCCTCCTCCTCCTCCTCCTCCTCCTCCTCCTCCTCCTCCCTCCTCCTCCTCCTCCTCCTCCTCCTCCTCCTCCTCCTCCTCCTCCTCCTCTCTCCTCCTCCTCCTCCCTCCCCCCCTCCTCCTCCTGCTCTTCCTCCTTCTCCTCCTCTCCTCCTTCTCCTCCTCCTCCTCCTCCTCCTCCTCCTCCTCCTCCTCCTCCTCCTCCTCATCATCATCATCATCATCATCATCATCATCATCATCATCATCATCATCATCATCATCATCATCATCATCATCATCATCATCATCATCATCATCATATCATCATCATCATCATCATCATCATCATCAGCAGCAGCATCAGCAGCATCAGCATCATCATCATAATCATAATCATCATCATCAACAACAACATCATCATCATCATCACCATCATCATCATCGTCATCATGAGCAGCATCATCATCAGCAGCAGCGCGTCATCATCATCATCATCATCATCATCATCATCATCATCATCATCATCATCATCATCATCATCACCATCATCATCATCATCATCATCATCATCATCATCATCATCCTCATCATCATCATCATCCTCATCATCAGCATCATCATCAGCATCAGCATCATCGTCAGCATCAGCATCATCAGCATCATCATCATCAGATTCGTATTCATCATCAGCATCATCATCATCAGCAGCATCTTCATCATCATCAGCAGCATCATCATCGTCATCATCATAATCATCATCATCATCGTCACCATCACTATCATCATCAGCATCATCAGTAGTATCATCTTCCTCCTCCCCCTACTCCAAGTACTCCTCCTCATCATCATCATCCTCATCCTCACCCTCATGGTCCTCCTCCTCCTCATCATCAGCAGCAGATCCTCATCAGTATCATCAGCAGCATCATCATCAGCATCAGCATCTGCAGCAGCATCCTAATCATCAGCATCATTAGCATCATCACCATCATCATCGTCATCATCACTATCAGCATCATCATCAGCATCATCATCAGCAGCATCATCATCATGATCACCATCGCCATCACCATCACCACCACCATCACCACTATCATCATTACCACCACCATCACCATTACCATCAGCAGCATCATTATCACCACCATTCCCATCACTACTATCACCATCACGACCATCACTATCGCCGTTGCCATCGTCAACACCATCGCCATCGTCATCACCACCACCACCATTACCACCATCATCATCAGCATCATCAGCAGCAGCATTACCACAGTCGTCATCAGTATCATTCGCATCGCCATCGTCACCGTCATCATCATGGCCAGCATCAGCATCGCCATCGCGATCGCAAACACCATCACCATCGTCATCGTCTTCGTCATCATCATCATCATTGGCATGATCACCATCGTCAGCATCCTCAGCATCATCATCATCGCCGCCGTCATCATCATCAGCGGCAGCATCATGCTCGTCAGCATCAGCATCATCACTATAGTCACCATCCGTATCATCGCCGTCGTCATAATCATCGTCATCGTCATCTTCATCACCATCATCATCACTGGCATCACAACCATGATAATAACCAGAATCAGCATCATCATCGGCACCATCGGCATCAGCATCGCAATCGCCATCGACATCGTCGTCGTCGTCACTACCGCAATCAAATCGCCAACGCCATCGCCATCACCATCGCCATCATCATCATCCTGGCCATCATCATCATCCTGACCATCGTCATCATCATAATCAGTATCATCGTCAACATTATCACCCTCCCCGTCATAACCACCATCATCGTCATAATTGTCAGCATCGTCATCGTTATCGTCGCCATCGCCATCGCCATTGCCATCGCCATCCTCATCCTCTTCCTCCTCCATCCTTTTCCTCCGTCTCCTCCTCTTCCTCGTCCTCCACCGCCTCCTCCTCCTCATCCTCCTCCTTATCGTCCTCCTCCGCCTCCTCCACTGCCTCCTCCTCCTTCCCCTGCCCCGCTGCCTCCGCCGCCTCTCGCTCGGGATCGTCGTTGAACAGGCTGTTGTACCGCTCCAGGTCCTCCTCGTAGCCGGCGTAGCCCTGCCCGGGGACAAAGGGCGCCTCGGCGGGGCGGCGCCGCCGCCGCTTTTTTCCTACACGACGCGGGAATTGCGAACGCATGCCTCTAGAGGGACAAGGGGGAAGGAGGAGGACGGGGCGGAGACTAAGAATGAGGGCGCGCAGGGGTGAAGACACGTGGACAGCATCGAGAACGGAAAATACAAAAAGAAAAACACGGGCACGGTAGGCACAAATCTCGGCGCACCTTCCTTGCGCACCCGACCTCGGGCGCAACGCCCCCAGCGATGGGTGCGGCGACTAAGCCTGGGCTGCCGCCCCGCGATCGCCCCGCGTGGGGGGCGCTTACGGCGACGCGCAAAATCTCCGACCAGACCAGCCTGGGCATTGAACCCCGAGGGCGGGCGGGCGAGGCGGATCCGGACCGCCAACGACCGAGGCAGCCCAGCGCCCAGGAGCGGGCGGGCGGGGCCGAACGGCCGACGGGCCCGCACCGCGGGCGAGCGCCGCGCGAGCGCGGTGCCAATCAAGAATAACAAACCTGCGAAGCAAACGGCGCACGCGCGCCCGCTCCACGCGAGACAACACTGAGGCGCAACGGAGCGAGCGCAGGCGGCGCGCTCGGCGGCCGGGCTGCACGCGGCGCGCGTCGCACGCGCCGCGGCGCCGCAGGGCCCGTCGGCCGACCTGCAATTCGCGCCCGCGCAACATCCTGCGGGCGCGCGCCCCCCACAAATCTCGGCGCACCTTCCCTGTGCACCCGACCTCGGGCGCAACGCCCCAGCGATGGGCGCGGCGACCGATCCAGGGCCGCCGCCCCGCGAGCGCCCCGCGCGAGGGGGCGCTTGCGGCGACGCGCACAATCCCCGACCAGGCCAGATCGCGCGTTGAACCAAACGCCGCAAGCGCCCAGGCTCGCCCGGTCGGGGCGCACAAGGCCTGCCGCGCCCCAATGGAAACACGGGCGCAGGTCGCAGCGCGCGCCGTGCGTGCGCATGGCCGACTTACCTCGCAGGCATCGATGCAGGACCTGGTCTGCTCGCCGCGCCGGCGCTCGGGCACGCAGCGGCGGCCGCCGCTTCGGCAGTCGCATCGCCCTCGTGCTGGCGCACATCTAGATATTATCTGAAAGCGCGGCAGCCCCAACCGGCGCCGCGGAGGATTTCACGAGGGCGGCCGTCGCACCACCTACGCTTCGTCTCCGCGCGCCCGCGGCGGAAAGCTTTGCTCGCGAAGGAAACCCCGCCGGGCGCGCTGGCGCGTAGCGCCGCCGCCTCTAGCGCGCGCCGCACAGGCGCGGCGATGGAGACGACTCCGCTGCCGCCGACTCGCCGCAGATGCGGGAACGCGGGCGAGGCGACACGAATGCTCGCGACAAATCTTCGCGCCGCGCGCGCCATGCACGTCGCTCGAGAACGTCCGCGTCAGCAATTCCACGCCGCGACCTTCGGGCCGTCGCGGCGCTTGCGCCGCGAGAAATTCAACGTCGCCGAGTCCTCCGAAAGAAAATAACGACTCTTGCCCGTGGCCTTCGCAGGTCTTCTTCGGAGAAGGCGCAGGCCCCGAACATCGACTGGTCGCCTCGCTCAATCACGAGGGCCTTGGAGGGCACGCGCAAAGCGAAACCCCACGACACCAGATATAGCGCGCGCATCGCGATTTCGGCACTCACGAAATCGGGCATCGCCGGTAAATCCGAAAGCAATACGAAAGGCTTCAGCGGCCGCCGCATAGGGCGCCGCTTCCCGATGGCCTCGCGGGCCCCCCTTCCCGATGGATGCGCAAAGGCAGACGCGCCCTGGCCCGACAGCTGGAATGCCTTCTCAAGCCGCGCCACGCAATTTCCGAAGGTGCGCGGACTGTGAAACTCGAGCGCGAACCAGCGCACATCGCTGGCCGACGGCGGCAGCGCGCTGGAGCCGTCTTTGTTGAGCCGACGCCGCGCGAAAGCCATCCACGTCCAGACCACCGCCCTCCAGGAATCGAAGGAACGCGGCGCCGAACCGACGATTGCCAGTGCTCGCGCGGGGGCCTGACTTGGCCGGGCCGGATGGCCGCCGGCGCCGGGGCCCCGCGATCGCCGCTCGCGATGGATTTTGCGAGGGCCGCCCGCGGGCGCGGACGACAGTTGCGCGGCGCGCGCGGCCCTGCAAGCGCGCGCAAGCTCGCGCTTCGCCGCGCTGTCACACGCGGCACCCGGCGCGAGCGCGTCCTGGCCACCGCCCGCAGGCGCCGGTTGCCCCAGCTCGCAGGACGACGCTGGTGGCGGCCTGCTCGGCGGCCGCGGAAACCCCGCCGCGATCTCGCGCATGCGCGCCTGGGCGACTGCGGCGAATCGCTCAAGGCCTGCAACGCGTTCCCACTTTCCACCGCGCACGTCAGCGACGCGTTCGAAACCGCTCCCGCCAAGTACTTTCGCAACCAGATGCACATTCGGCATCACTGCCTGCACGCGAGTAGAACCGACCGAACCTGGCGGCGCGCGCGATGCCCGGATCGCCCGGCACGCACGCCCTGCGCAGCCCATGCGCCAGGCGTGCCACTTCCATGTCACAAGCCGACAAAACGAACGGTGCCGCGACGAGCAGCCGATCCGGATCGCCCCCCCCCGCCGCGCGACTGGCGCGGGCTGCGGCGGCGGCGCGCGGCCGGAGAGGGCGCGGGGAGGAGGGGAAGGGGGAAGGGCAGGGGTGGGCGGGTGGAGGGGGGGGGGGGCAGACCGCACTCCCAGCGCGGCGCGCACGGACGCGGAGCGGAAAACGCCCGGCGCCCCTAGCGCGGCGCCCATCCCGAGCGCAGACGCGACCGATGATGAAGGGATGCGACTGGCGATGATGGCCCTTCCTTTCTTTCTTTGCTCAGACCCACAGCGCTTCCCATGCCTCGGGCGCGTGGAATCGCGCATCTAGCGCCGCCGGCACTGGACGCGCACCGAGCAGGTGCAATAGATAATGCACTTCGCGGGGCGGCCCGTTAGAGACGCCGCTCATCGACGGGGCGCGGCGAGCCCACATCGACAGGGACATGCGCGCCGCGAGAAACCATATGCAGCGGGCGAGGGCCCCAGACCCGGGCGCTCGCGCGCGCCGCTGATCTCTCGGCCCCCGAACTGCCCGAGAACACTTCCAGCGCGCGACCTGCCAGTCGCCCTTCAAACAACGACAAACCTACTGCGATCGCCAAGACCTCGAGGCCCATGACTTGGCCGTCGCGCCTGCGCATGGAATTTCGCATCAAAGATCAGAGCTGCGTCGGGCGCGCATTCGGCAAACAGGATCTCGCCGCGCACATAGCACGGCGGCGGCGCGAGGAGGCGTGCTCCGCGCGTCGCAGACCACGTGCGCCGCAGGCATGTCCCCTGGCTTCCAACCAGCCACTTCGCGCAGCCTGAACTCGAGCACTTGGGCCCACCAGCGCAGCGCGAGCTCGAGAGGCCGCCCGATGCGATTGGAGCCCTTGTGCCAGTGCGCGAAGAGTGGGCGGGCGGAGCACTGCTATGCCCAAGCGCTTAAACAAGTGCTGCGCGGCCCACGCGAGAGCGCCCGCGAATTTCTTCGCCGCGCCCTGGCGCGGAGCGCCGCACTCTAAATGATGCCGGATGGCGGGCGACCACTTGAGCCGCTTGTCGACCGCCGGCTCGCAGCGCACGCCCTGCGCACAGAAAGAAGAGAGCAGCCCCAACACGACCAGCTGGGCCCCGCGCGCCAGCTTCGCGTCGGCTACTGCGCCGCTGCCGAGCGCGGCACTAACGACGCGAGCGAAGCACCGCATGGCGTGGTCGGCCGCGCCGAGGCGACCCAGCGAAAAATAATCGTCTACGTATCGGGATACTGGCAGCTTGGGAAGCCGCCTGGCGAAGCGCGAGAGCACGGCGGCCACGCGCCGCCAGTCGCGGCGAGATGCTAGCGCGCCGAAAGGGCAGGCCAGGTGCTGCGAGCACCACGGGCGGCCGCCCTGCTAGAAAACGCTGAAAGCAGCCCACCTATCGGCAGGGACCAGCGGGATGCGGCGGCAAGCGGAACCATGTCCGCTTTCCACAGCTCTGGAAGCACGCCGTGCAATTCGACGAAGGCACGCGCGACCGCTACCAGCTGGCCCGCGACTTCCACGCTTCATATCTCGGCGGGGGTGCGCGCGCCGCCCACCCCGGAGCGCGTGAAGTCATCCACCAGGCGCACTTTCAGCGCCCCGTCGGGCTTCGGTTGCGAGACCCCAAACCCGGGCACCAGACGAACTGCTTCGCCCCATGCCGCGGCAAGCTCGGCTGCGGAGATGTCGGGATTAGCCGCCCGCGGCGGAGACCTCCTACCCACGTCCGCCTGCTCCCGCGTCTCACGGAGCAGCTCGCCCGCTAGGGGGTCCTCGCGAATTGATGCAAGTAGCGAGCCGTGGCACGTGAGCGCGCTGGCACGTAGTCTGGCTACCTCGGCGCCAGTATCGCCCGCGCGCTCAATCGGGCTGAGCGCGCGACCGTTGCCGCCGCACTCTAGGTCGTCCAACAGAAGGGCGCCGCGCGAGAAGAATACACTGCTCTGCGTCGCGCCACGCAGACTCACGCGCCAATTCTTTTAAAAGTGGGATGTTGACGCCTGCGATAAGCGGCCCAAGTCCCGGCGGCGCGGCCTTCCTCGCGGCCTCGGCCCCCCTGGATGCCTCGAATGCGCCGCCGGGGCTTCGATGCGCGGAACGCGCTCCTCGCGTTCTCCGATGCGCTGGCGGAGGCTGCGCGCGGCGCCCCACCGCAACATTTTCACTCAGCCCCTCTGCACGTCCGCACGCTTCGACTGCGCGCCGCGGCGGCCGAGCGCCTCACGCGCGAAACGAAACGCCCCGACATCGTCGGGCGCTAATTCGCCGCGCAGAGCACGCGCACTGGCTGCGTCAAACGCCGATTGCAAGCTACTCATGGATGCGTCTGGGAAGCTGGCTAGACCCTCACTGGCTCCGCGGCTGACTGCCCAGGGTGCGCGGGGAGTGCGGCCCCTGCGTCGGGCGGGGCGGGCGCGGCCCCTCACTCTCTCTCCTGGCGCTTGTTTGGCGTC